TGAATAAGCCACATGTGTACGTGTATGCCCTTCGCCTACAATAGCGCCCTCTATTGAAGAAAAACTTGCTGAGCAATCATGGTGCAACATAATGGTTGTATGCATACGTGTACAGTTTGTGAACTTTGTTGCCCGAAAGGTTGCTGGAGTTGCATCATTTTACCCTGGTGTACAGTACGCGTTTAACACTGGTGCATGGATCACTGTTCCATGTTTGATTGGGGTCTAGAAAATTTCACAACAGCGTACAGCCTAATGCCCATTTTTGGCTGCCTATTTTTTTTAGAAAAGGATACTAGAGAAGTCATCCAAAGATTAAAATCAATTACTGGTCTGAGAATTTTCAGATTAACAATGCAACTACGATGCAATCCACCTCCAAAACAGATCAAGATGCATCGAGATTATCCACTGGAATCTGAGATTGCTTTATAATTGATTTTAATGTATAACCTTTGCATATGTACAAATGTATTACTGAGACCCATCCAGTTTAGTTTTCAGCCTTTTTTGGATCAAAAAGAAAAAAAAATACCCTAGAAGTTGAGAAATTAAAAATGGGGAAAAAAGAAATGAAAAAGAATGAAAATCACTAATTTTCTACAAAATACCTGAAAACCCTTCTACATTAATGGTTTGTCAGTTTGCTGAGGAATGCTTTTTCCCCTCCCCCCAAAAAAATCCTAGTGATGCCTTTGCACAGGAATCATGTAAATTATGACATCAGGTGAGCAGAAAAACACCTGAGAAATATGGACTGTGCCTCAAATTGGGAAATATGACTTGGTTTTGACACTGAAGGTTACAGGAGAGACACTAGCACTGACAGACTTCTTGTCCAAGCACGGGAGCAGTATGAAGCACAAGTAATGGCACACAAGGTGTGATGGACACAATCTGTCTGATTAACCCAGAGACCAAACTGAAGTCATAACAGAGTTGGTCCTTACCTAGTGAAAAGATTATACGTGTTAAATGCCTCTTTAATGAACAAGGTGTTGACAACTTGCAAAACTGCTCATGGGCGTAAGCTCAATAGTGTGGGAATAGTGAACAATCTTGAATTTCTGAAAGTGGTTAATGTAATTTACCTGCCCAACAAAACTTGTTTGAAATCAATTTCAAGGATAAATCCTTTTGTGAGTGCACTGTGCATAGATAGGTCAGGTGAATGGACAGAGAATATGTCACTTATTCTATCGTAAACTTCAGAGGTTTGTTCTTCCTTTTAACCAATTCCTATTTTCAAATCTCTCTCTTCAGAACACAACAGATGTTTAATTGAATGTACGCTGCAATAATCCGCATGGTCTTATTCAAATGAAATTCAACTGTTTGCTTTATCTTTACAAAAGGTTATCTGACTGACATGAACAGCACCCCCTTAAAAAATTGCAACATTGTTCAACTTCTCATTTTCAAGCAGATCTGGTTTTTTTTATTTCTGAAGTATACACGTTACATGCTTACAACATCAATTTGACTGTTTTTCCATGAACATATTTGGGTGTAAACCACAGAATATCTGTCAAATCTTGGATCTGAGTCACTGATGGGGTGACGGATTGAAGGAGCTTCACCATGTAGACAGAAGCCATAGTCATGATTCATCCAAGGTCTGTAGGCAGGACCAGGTTTCCTGACGCACTGAATGGTAGTGATGGACACCGCTTTCCCAAGAGGCGTTCATGATGAGGGTGGTTTGGAGCAGAAAGTGAACTGCCTACCAAGAAAAGACCAGCTGCTTCTAGACTAGGTTTTAATCCAGCTGCAGGGAAGGGAGCAATGAAAAAAAAGATATTATTTCAATAAATATGATGCCACCGTGTTTAACATTTTTAATATGCCTAGGCGGAAGTCACTTTTGGGACAGTCGGTAAACAGCACAAAGATTTGCAGCTGTGTCACAATGTGAACTGCACAAACTATCCCTCACGGGAATATCAGATTGCACTTTTGTGCTGTCCAACATCTGTGCCTACTGTTTCATGTGCATGATTGTGCAGTAAACCAACTGCAGTGACGAGGAATATCCAAAAAGAGAGCTCCGTCATTTTATGCTGTCAACCAACTGTACACACATTGAAGCTGTGCATATCTGTGTTCCATATTGAGAACACATGTAACACAGTGACTGTTGGCATTCCGTGCATACATGTACATGTATTTGTTAAACCACAGGGAGGATAAGGATTGAAGCAGCTTTTTGCTTTGTGGCTGGCATATATTATCCACTGGTTATATCCATCGTTCACTGTTTAAATTGGGTCAGGGATGTGAGTAGTCACTAAAAATTAAAGCTGAAAACAGCTAGCAAAAAGCTGCAATGTAAAAAGTCCCAATACTTTTGTACAGACCAGGTGTACAAAAAAGTTGAAATTCAGGGACAACATCTCAACAAAAAAAGCTGAAATCAGCTAAAAAGCTGAATTATCATGCCCCTGTTAGGTACAACACAGCCATGAATTACATTTGGAAACCTTAAAATAAAAATTTGTTATTGTTTGGAAATGCCAAATTCTTTCAAGTCGTGACTTTTCTAAAATGCCGAAGCAAAGCTTTGTCCAACAGAAACACTCTTTGGCACATGGATGTCAACTACCAGGCTGGAAAGGGTTAAAAAGTCTGAAGACAGCTTAGTTGTCTTTCATCAAAATGTACGAGAATGAGTCTTTTCGTGATAAATCAAAGCGAAATGCCAATAATGTACATTTTCCAAACATCACCACTGTCAGCAGAGAGAATACCACTTCTCAAACTCAACATTACCTCTGACACATTCACTGAAATAAATGTCGCAGTTTTAAAGTTAAGCGCTACTGATTTGAAGGTACGATGTTTAACCCTAACCCAACCCCCTACGCACCATTGAAATCATGCATATGTTTGTTGGATTCAGAATGGTAAGAGTTAATCCTGAAATTTTCTGAACCGTCAAAACAGAAATCATCATCTTTTCAGGTCATGTGATGGAAAAAAGTTAAAGAACACAAGCCTGACAGTGAGCCCAACAACATGAACAAAAAATGTAACTATGTGCTCTTCTGCACAAATTTCTTCTTTCCCCCGGCCTGGAAACAAAGCCTTTGGTCAAAACCGAATGGCAACCCAATCATTCTAGTGACTTATTCAATTTCTACCTTTTGGAATCCAATGTCCTTTGCATACATGCGGAAACACTGCCGGCAAATGTTCAGGGCGTATTTCCGGATCAGTCCATGACGGTTCCCACACACCCGACTGAAACAAAACAAAAATCAAAACAAATCTCTCACAGCATTTCTTAAGAAGCAGACATGCTGTATGGGATGCTCTCTAAGCTATCGGTTTGCTCCATTTCACACACATCTGGGGTGAGCACCACAACTCGGAGACTGTCCCCAAACTCGGAGATGTCTCATTATTCAGGAGAGAGAATCTCTCCAACACCAGGAACATTCTTTGTTTTCCAGTGGGCTTGGAGATCCTACCATTGCCAGGGGACCCTTTTAAATGCCACAGTTAGATTCCGCAGAGGAAAACACAATAGGCTGCAGTTTAATAAAAAAAAATCTACTCTTTACAAGTAAGAGTCTGCAGTGGAACATAAACGGTACAAAAAAGACAAGATCAAAACAATTTTACTGAATATCAATCCTTTACATACAGTGAATCAAGTCATATGGTACAAAGTTCATTAAAAACTTAAATAACTTGAATGAACTAAAAAAGGGAAACAGGGGAAGGAAAGAGTTTCATGTATGAACATCACTGATTTTCCCTGAAAATGTTATAAAAGCCATCAGAAAGTGATAACACGTCCAAGAAATTGAAAGTTAGCAAAGAAGGTTCTAAAACATTTACTTTGAAAACCTGTTATTTTCCAGACAAGTTACATAGGTTTATGCACAGGGGCCGGGCACATCTAGTGCTGTCCCTATATTATTGGCATGACTGACACACAGCAAAATCGAGGGTGCCTATCACTTCAACACATAAAGGATTTGCGGTACCACGCTATGAACAAAAACTTGAAAGTAGAACACGCTTGTCATGTTTGTAAATTGTTAAATATTGTTGCTTGTACAGTGCTTCGAATTCTAAATGTCAAATCCTGCATTGCACCCATCTGCCCATGTTATACGTTAGGCCCCAGTACATGTGTTAAAACACAGTGACAGAAGCTTCATGTCACTGTATGTAAATATTCAATATGTAGGCTGAACACGAGTCATGGATTGCATGTTATAGGTACGGGCGCGGTGAAATAGCGCTGGCCAGTGTGTCTAACATTTTACTTATTTAGCAAGCATGCCAAGCCTAACGTTAGCGCACCAATCAATACACGATGCCCGGCCCACCATCAGCAACATGCATGACATGCCCAACATGCCCAAGGCCGGCGGGGGCACACATAAACGACGACATTATTTTCACATTTCATCATCATCTACAACACATATTTCTATCCATAATTGTGCTTGGACATTTGAAGAATTTACTAGTACAAAAAGATCCCTTCATACCAGCTTCTGGAGCCAGGCCCGTACTTCCTTGGATGGGAATGCCAAATGTTCGCGAAACCCATGATGGCGGCCACGAGGAGCGAAAGAAAGATGTTGTGGTGGTTGACCGCCAGGTGGCGCACTTCTCACACAGTCGGTCAACGCTCAAAATCATGAAATCATTAGGTTTGTTTAATCTACTAACCCACTGATTTACTGATTTCCAGATTTAAGAAAGTGTTTTGAGAAATTAGTGTAAACAAATCAGTGACAAAGAAATCTCTAGACAACGCCACCTTCCAAGACCGCTTAGAGAAAGGATATTGCGTTCGTGTCATAGCAGTCCACTGTCACGGTGGTGGCACAAAAATTTTGGTTGGCATGCCCGCCGGCCATCAAAATTTGAAAAGCGGGGATCATGAGGGATGGCAATGATTATATTTATAGAGGTTGATTTAGACGATAAAGATGTAGATCTGTAATATATGTTACATTCGCGCAGAATATTGCACCAGAATGGCATATTCATGGTTTTAAACTGTTTTTCCTTTTTGAGTATTACTGAATGCAAGTCGTTGGGAAGTCCGAAAATTCTTCACAATCCGCTCCGTCGAATCTTCAAGTTTTCAAGTTGTTCACCACAACAAGTGATGATTCAATAGCTCTTGGCCCCAAAAGTTGGGGGATCCCCATTTTAATATACCCATGATAGTTTCTATGCTTACTCAAGGAAGGGTTCTCTCTTAAATTTTTGTCAGGGATGTGACGTGTTTGGCATGGTAATGTAGTCAATTAATTTGAACCCCCAAAAGAGTCTGTGTTCTTCCGCAGTGATACTGTCGAATGGCTGCCGAGAAATACGGGTTCATCGGCGTCTCCACTCCTCCACCGATGAGGCCTAATCTTCGCAGGTTATAGTGCTTTGCGCCAAATTTGGACAAAAAACAATTGTAATGAAAATAAAGAACAGAAAAAAAGAGCAACATTAATACAGGCCTAAATCACAGTCTCCAGTCTCTATCCGCCAAAATTTTGATCTCCGTTGATTCAATTTTTTGTCATTTTAATTTTAACCCTTTTAGAATGTATTATTGATCATAATGTCCCTGTTTACTCCAAGGCTTTTTAGAAATTTAAGGCTTTTAGCTTTTTAATACCCTTTTCTTTTGTAATTGTACATATTATTGTATATTTATTTGTTTTAATGTACATGTAAATTGTATTCACAATTCGGCCCCTGGCGGCGAGGAATACAGTTAAAATAAATAAACCATTCATAATAAAACTGATTCATTCATCGTCTCAATGACCCCCAAATTTATATTTCTTTCAAGAGAAAAGTCGTCACATCAAGCCTCCGCCAGTTTTTATATTAATGCCGTTCCACCCCATTTTTTTATCTTCACTTTCCTGGTTTATTGTAAGTTTAGAGTTTCATGGTGCATAAACAATTTTCTTCAAGTTATTTACGGGTTTAGTTGATTTTAGGATTTACTGTCTACGGTTTACGTCTTTTTAGCCTCTTGTTTTTGTCAGAGAACCTTCACCGTCCTGTAATTGCCTGACTTGTGCTGCTGTATAACTTATTATGATGTAGGAAAAGGCCTCCATGGTTTCAGACCCCGCCTAGAGCGGTGTTGAAAATGTTCATTAAAACCATTACTCGAACAATGAGAACGTGTTGAGTTTCAGGAATCTTTGCCAACCAATCGGACTCAGCCAATAAACAATTTTTTTTAAAATGTGTTATATGTGCTCAGGCTTAATCTACTCATAGAGAAATAAAACACATGATCTACTCTGCGGGTTCAAATTTAAAGGCAGGTGGTGCGAGGTTCGGCTACGATTCGTCGAGCTGAGAACGTGTCGATACGCGAAGTATAAACGTACAAAGAACCTGTGCCTTGAGTGCTTTAGGTCTAGCACAGGAAACAAAGGTGATCTAATTAACCATCAATGGTTCAATCTGTGTTTCAAGCAGTCATTGTCAGGGGTCAGATCATTGTAAGAACCAACATAATGAACATAAATAATACGTCTTGTGTGCACTGTGTCTGTGCCTGGCCCTACCAAGCTAGCCTGCCATGCGTAAAATACAACCCCGCCAGCTGGAACTGGTTAAAACCGGTTCCATCTCGCCCAAAATTTCCATCACTCGAACGCCCAACGACACGGACAGTGGACGTGGATTTCGCGTTCTGGGCATGTTTGTCACATTGTCCCTGTCGAATTTTGAGCAGTTGGAGCAATTTATGGTTCATGCCAGCTTTTCTGCGGATTGTTGGAATCTTGTAGATGAAAAAGTATTATGTGTTTCACAAGAGGACGTCTCGTGGAAGCTAATCGTTAGGCAGAATACTAGCACGATTCCAGTAACGTTCGCGTTGTGCAGCTCGTCTCCGTATCTTACAAACCCCGTAATAAACATTTGGCTGCAAGCTCGACGTTGATTGGCAGATGAAGGTAAGCGGCAGATTTCTCGTGTTTTGATTGGTCAACCATGGCCATGTTTTTCTATTGCGCTAACGTGTTACTTGCTCCATTTAACATGTTCAAGTGTGATGTTTGTCGAAAAGCGTGCATGTTATTTTTTGTTTGTGATGATGTGTAACTGTAACTATACAGTTTGGAAACTCACCGCTCATGCAATAACGAAGGCATAAAAAAGCAGTGTAGGCGTAGCATGTAATGGGACATTTTGTCTTTATGCTTTGTATTCCAAGTGATGTCATGGATGTACATGTGTATCTTCTCAGTTTAGCCTAGGCTAGATTCTATCTCTTTGCGCCAGGCATGCTATTGCAAGGCCTGTGATTATAAACATCTCTTCCTACCTCCATGTTTAAAACAGTATTTAAATATTGTCAAAATTTACCTAAACTAGGCCTATCAGGATTGAGTAATGGTTCCTCAAGCCTTGTCAAGGTCAAAATGTTAGTTTGAGAAAGTTTACTTTGTTTCCTGATTTATTAGCTAATAGGAACAGGGTGCTAAGGTAATGAAGGCCGTGTAATGTTGGATGTAGAAGTTCCATCAAGTTCTGGCACATCTGGGAAGGTGCTACTTCCTGAACAGTACGGTACATGTACTACTCTGTGGATCTACTGCACTCCTCGTTTTTTTATGGTTCCGCACACTTTTGCATTTTGAAAGCTGCCCTGGAGTACCAGGTGAAACATCCGTTTTCGTAGCTCAGCTGAGTTGAGCGTTAGTAGGGCCTATTCCTTTTTTTTGGATTTTGGACGGGATCGTCATACTAACGCTCCACGCTCATACATACAGTAAGGTTGAAAGAGTTCTCAAAAATTCCAAAGACTCGCCAAAAATTCCTCTATCACCACCTCCTTGCTTCCGTACATGCCAACGTCAAATGGTCGGGGCTTCAATGATATTTGGCAATAAATCTATGGGCAAAACATGGTCCTCCCAGAAATACGCATGAGTGGCCTACATGTGGTCTGGGCACAAGACTTGATGATCGTGATGGTTAGGAGTGCTATCAATGACTGTTTCCTCTACGGGTGAACATGGTCCACCAACAAAACCGCAGGAGAGGTCCAAATGTAGTCAGGGCACAAGACGCATTTTGACAGATTTTGAAGTCAGAAATATCATTGAAGCCCTGGGAGTAGTCAGAATTCTGGGGACTGGTATCCAAAGCAACATGAACGTTCGTTACACGAATAGGCTGCACAGAGAATGCAAATGTGTGCAGATCGTTGAGGGGAAAGAAGTAAGGATGGTAGGAAAAAACTCATTTTTTCCCAATGATATAGGTTACATGTAAATGATACAAACTACATTCATGCCAGGTACAGTCAAACCTCGTTAATAAGAGGTCCTTCGGACTTGGCAAATTACCTTGTTATAACAGAAATCTTGTATTATCAGGAATGAAAACAATGAAAAAAGAAAGGTTTGGGACTTGTAATTTTTCTTGTTATAAACTTATAAGCAGAGTCTTATGTTAACAGTGCTCTTATTAACGAGGTTTGACTGTAGTTCTATATAGGTTACATCTAGTTTTTATTATAGGGTCTTGAAGGGAGGATTTGCTTCTGATGGCACAAATGGATGTTTCATCTGATACTCAAGCTGGGTAGCTTTCAAAATGCCAAAATGTGTGGAACCATCAAAAACGTGGAGTGCAGTAAGGTCTACGGAGTAGTACCTTTCTGTTCAGGAAGTACATGTACATGTAGGAAAGTGCCATCCATAGGGGATTACGAAGGTGGACTTGAGGCCTTACAGAAAAAAATTATTAAAAAGGATACAAAAAGAAAAAAATGAGGTAAAAAAGTTTTGGCCGTGTTTATGCCTCACTAGGAAATAGACATGTACAAGATAGAACAAATACATTTGTTACAAAATACATTTGTGTGTACATGTACATCGTGCACATCAAACTTAATGACTGTTAAGCCTACATCATAAAAGACAGTTACGTGTGTCACAAGCAAACATAATCACAGGGCAAATAAAGTTTTCAAGATTATTCTCATTTATAAGTCTCATGGATATGCAAAGCAGTTAGTTTTGTACCAAGTTTGCACAGCGAGCCAATACCGGTCAAAACTGGTTCTGTCTTCAGTGAGCGTCCAGATTTGCCTGTCACTGGAAATGTTTGTATGATGAGGCTTCTGTATACTGTACCACCTGTTCATGACGACTGTATCTCTTCCACATTTCTTCCCGGACACTGTGCCTATTTCATCTGTATACTTGCTACTTTTAAAAGGTTTGTCACAGTACATGTCTAACCAGAATTACCTGAACAGGCTTTCAGCCCATTATTTTTGTGTTGGCTGAAGGCTTAACTCTAACATGATTTGGTTTTCCCCTTCCCCTTTCAGGTTATACCAGAAAACATGACGACGCTAGCAGAGCAGTCAGGAAAACTGCTTGATTTTAGCCAGAAGCTAGACATCAATCTGCTAGATAGTGTTGTTGGATGTCTTTACAATGGTGCTGGCACACAGGTAAGGAAATTAAAATGAAATTTAGAAAAAGTATTTGATCTCCGAATTGTTCCTCTTATTTAACACTGATCTTGTATTGAATGTTAGAGCAAGTTTTGAGCCCTTGCCCCCCTTGAGTTTATTTAGTTTCATTGCCTCACTGAATGGATACATGTACATGAATTTCTAGGACTGTGATGAGGCTGACAGTTGTTTACTGTCAGTTTCATCATTTAGCTTTAAATTGGAATAAGTCAGAACTGGTCAAAACCAGTTTTTTCAACCTTTTGTTAAGATGTCAAGCCCATCCCAAAGCATTTGAACGGATGATAACATTTTGGCACCCAGAACCCGGTGAGACCAGTCTTTATTGATTGGATGTTCATGTACGTGTATAATCCTGGAGCCATGAGTGTGACAGTAATGTTGTACCATTTGGTTTGATTTTGAATGAGTCTGTACTTTGAAGTTACAGAACTGGTCAAAACCAGTTCTTCTGAACTTTTGTTATGATGGCAAATCATCCGAAAACATTGTCTGGATATTTGCACCTAGGATCTGTGGAAACCAGTCTCTTGTGTATGGAGATTTTTTTATGTGCATTTGTGTCGTTTCCTTTTATCAGCAACAAGTTGCCCAGCAGATTCTGACCAGCCTCAAAGAACACCCTGATGCCTGGACTCGGGTGGACACTATCCTGGAATATTCAAATAACCCACAAACTAAGGTAGGATAAAGTGGCTTGCTCAGTAAATTTACTGTTTCAGTACTCCTTTCAGAACAGTTACAGGAAAAAAGAAAAAAATAGATTTTTGTTTTAGCACAGTGCAGTGAGCATGAAACATTTTTTGTTGTATGTTAATTATACAGTTTTATTCATTATCTTGCAGTACTACGGTCTGCAAATATTAGAAAATGTGATTAAGACGCGATGGAAAGTACTTCCCAGAACCCAGTGTGAAGGCATAAAGAAATTCATAGTGGGCCTCATTATCAAGATCTCATCTGATGCCACAGCAATGGCGGTGAGTTTACGTCTTGTTTTGGGGGATGAGATTCTTCATTTAAAGCTGGCCACAGCTGAGCAGGTGCTTTTTCAGCATGCTGCAAATGGACGCCATTGTAAAATGTCATATAGAGATTAAAACCACTTGAAGCTGAATCTCTGCCCATGTTCATAGCAGATTGTAGAAATTCCATTTTGTTCAATTTATTGCTGTTCAGGCATATTTAAGCAGTTTGGCTTATTTGCTGGGGAATCATGCTGTGATCAGCCGTCTGGATTTGGTTTGATAATTACACTCTATAACCCTAGCAATCCTAAATCTTAACCTGTCGGAGGATTTAGGATTCACTTTTATTGACTTTTTTACTGACCATTTTTTTTTTGCCATACAGTCTCAATCTTCCATTATCTTCCAAAACCATTTGGAAGCTTTTGGACGATTGAGGACATCTAGGGTTATTGTTCAACAGGCTCCCACCACAATTGTAAAGCCAAAACCCTCATCCAGGAGACTCGTTGCCAAGTAATTACTTTACACATTGCTCAGTGTAAACTTTTAATTATGAGATAATGTACATGTATGAAAAGGTGGTTGTGTCTATGGTGTACCTCTGAGATAGATTTGCAGTCTTGAGTGCTATACGGTGTAGTCTCTTTTGAAAAATAGCCATGTGTGGTTGTGTGATGAATGGGAGTTATTGGCGTGCATATAAGTTGCAAAATGCGATGATAGAAAATAGTGCGTTAATGCTGAGAATAATTACCTGTACATGATTTTAGGTTGTATTATCAAAGTCCAAGGAGTATGCGTGTCACTTGTACATTATACATGTATGTGTGTACTTCTCTCTGTCTGCCAATTGGTTTCTTATCTGCTCACTTCATCATTTGGCAGTACCACAGTCAGACAGAGTGTTGCATAGGCCCTCGGCATCATGCCCAAGTCCCTACTCTGCTATATGGTGGGACTGTTGAAATGTACAGGCCTACATGAATGTATTTAGGACAGGTGCATTTGTCAACTTTTGGTGGTACATGTATGTTTACTGCCACCAAGAATCTCAAAAGTCTCTCAGTATCTTCTAAACTTACATTTTGAAAGAACAGAGACTGTTACTCACCAGGTCCCATGCTTTCCAATGGCTGTTGTTTATTAGACTGTGCCTTTCAATTCTCACCAGCTTCATTGGGCAGAAGTTGACACTTCACCAGAGGATGAAACATTTTTATTTCATACTTCATAAAGAGTCATTATTCATCAAAGATATATTAGCTTTGCATCATGGATGTTACTTGAGAGTTGCAAAAAAAAAATCACAAGCTCACTGTACTAGGATTTGAACCCACAACTTCCTGCTTACTATTGTACTAATGCATCAGTGCATTAGTTGGCAAGAAGACGGTGGTTTGAATCCCACAGAAGCAAACTTGTGATGTTTTAGCCATGATCGGATCACACTGAGAATACAGTGTGAATATACATTGGTGTAATGGCAAAACCTGGTACATGTATAACAAAGCCAAGTTACTATGTTTGACTACACTTTTACCTTAAGCCAGCAACCCAAACTCAGTGGTCGGCTGGCAAGACATTCTGCACTTGACAGTAGGAAGTTGTGGGTTTAAATCCCACCTGAGCAAGATTGTGATGTTTTTGCAAGTCTCAGACCAAACTGAGCATAATGTGTGAATACATACTGTACATGTACATGTGTGTCTGTGTAAGAGCAGAGCCTGGTTTAAAAAAAATCAATTTTTCATGTTGTTTGGCATGACATACATGTACATGTAAGTTTGCTAATATATGAAATACAAAAAAATTGCCAAAAGTAAGATTTCTAAATGTGACCAAGCCCAAATTAACACCCATCTTTCTGAAATACTGTTGCTTTTATCTACATTTGAAATTCTTCAGATGACGTGATTCCAATTTGATATTCCATTCTATTCACCACTCAGAATCGATACCCTCTGATTTGGGGCAGTTGATATGCGTCGTAAGTATGGTAGAGTTTGGTATTATCTGATATTAAATTGCATTCTGTGATCACGAAATCTGTTCATTGTTAGTCCCATTTTGAGAGATTGACGATTATAGAATCACCCTTAATGAGAACTTCAATTGGATCATAAATTCAAAGTGTTACATGTGTAGTGGAAATTCTCTTATACAGTATCATACTTCTTTCTTGTCTTCATGTCTCTTAAATACTGTTCCAATATGAACAGGGGATTTGATAATGGAGGAGAGGAGTTGGTAGGATTTGAGGAGTCTTTAGGTCATTGTGTCATGTACTTGCAGTGCATACATGTACATGTAGATCTTTCTCTGTCAGTCATATTTTTTGCCAACCAGTGGGTGGTAACCTGGCTGGCCATCTGTAAAAAACAAAACAAAAAAATAATCCAAAATGTGTTAAGAAACCATTGCAATACCAAAGAATAACCACTTCTAAATACCAAATAATAAAATACAGCCCTCTTTGAAAGCAGTGGGGCAAATGTACATTTTGAGGTTAGACGTGATCCCAACCAAAGGTGTTACATGTATGTGTACATATGTATTTCTACATACAGTACATTGTACATGTACTGATGTTGGCAACCCATGTAAAAGAGGTCTCTTAAGCCCTGTTCGCACTGGACCTTTTTAAGGTAAACTTACCAAGGCGATGGGTACTTTGCCCATTTTGAATCCAGTGCAGACGTCCCCGGTAAGCTTCCTCTTGATTACTTTTCCCGAGCCATGCCAGAATTTTTACCGGCCAACTTCTGGCCAGGAAGAATTCCCTAGACAGAAAGTACAGGGCAGACAGTACGAGTCGGTAAAAGCAGCTCAGGGAAGCGTACATGTACATCCGGTTTACTGGCAAGGTCAGGCTCACACGAACCCGGCGCATGTGCGTTGTAAGCGTCCACGTGACGTACATATGTACATACACGTACACACCACGAAGCTTAATTCTGGTGCTGTGCAGTGTTCTCGAGTCTCTCATTGGAGAACTGTCATGACCGGAAGTTTGTAAAAGGTGGGCGCGTGCTTGGGTCAAAGGGTGAACACAAAAGGTCATGCAAAGTGCCCTCATGTGCCATTATAAACATGATAAATAGTGACAGCTCGGTTATTTTTCCCAAGCATCTCGGTAAAAATCCCAGCGTTGAAAGTCCAAGTGCGGACGGCGGTAAAATTTGGCCATTTTTCCAGTGACTCGGTAAAATCCTCGGAAAATAAAGTTCTGTGCGGACAGGGCTTGACATTAGGTTGTCCTTTTATTGTCAGAAATCCCCTGTCTGTTGGCAGTACACAAAGACATGAGAGATTTTTGTACTGATATGCACAAATGATATAAAACGATGCTATAAAACATTACGGAATTCTACATACATGTTTTAAAATGTACATGTACGTGTACATGTACAGTATAAGTGATGCCCAAAGAGCATAAGAGTTTATGATTTCCTTTTGAGTTCATACATAGGTGTCATTTTTCATGACAAAAAGTTTGATGTGAGCATTTCATTGACGGATAAACTGATTTGACCAATTATCCTTTTGAAATGATAGAATGATGCAGTGCTTATTAATAACAAATGGCAGAACACAATGTGATTCTTTCTATTTTGCATGCGCGGGGCACCAAGGATATCATTACTAAACTTTCTTGTCAAATTTTACCTTCCTTTTTTGTAGCTCCATGGTGAACTGTCTGTTGTGGCAATAATTATGAAATCATTCTCTCTTAAATTTATGTACATTATTTAATATGTAATTAAATATTTCCAGTCATTATAAACTATTAAAGCTCAGTGTAAAAGTAAAACTGTGACTGTGTCAAGCTTCTTTTTAACATTGAATGGACTAGGGGAAGTTTATTTTTTTATGATCGCCAGCTGTGTGTAGCCTGTGTTGGCGTACCTCTTTTTCTAGTTATCACTGTCAGAACCAGAATTAAGTCCTGGAAAAATCAAACTTTTGACCTGGAAAATCCTGAAAAAGTCCTGGAATATTTTTTTCACAAAGGTGTGCGAACCCTGTTCCAGTTAATGTTGACTACATTCTGTTACCAAGTGATTCAATTAAAAAAGTATTTTTGTTTATCCAATATTAAAAGTCTTCTTTTTTCCTCTAAATCTGACATCTTTAGAGTACTGTTGCATTGTTTACAATGAACTGCTCAACATTAGATGGTGAAAGAAGTGCTTGGAAAGTACTCATAAAACTACAGTTTATAAATACATGTACATTAAGAAAACGTTGTGGAAATAAACTTGTAGATGATTGCTTGTTTACAGTTACTAAGGCATTGATTCAAAGGAGAAAAATTGCAAATTCCAGTACTGTACATTTAATACAGACTTTGCTGTGTGTATTATGGTGCTTGAAATATTTCTAAAATGGCATTAGAAAATATTGCTTAACTATTGCTCCTGTGACAAGGAGTATCCCAAGTATATAAAGCACCCATGTGTGCTTTACACATACTTAGGATGCTTTTGCTGGCAACTAAGCAACAGTGTGTTCAGCAAACATATGTACATGCATATGTGCTTGGCAGCTGCATGAAATCAGCCCAGGTTGACAGGACTAGTCAGGTCAGAGATCTTGCATTTTCTGGTTCCCACTGGTTCTTTGTCATTACTGGTTCTAAGTTGCAGCAGCCACAAACTGTGCCACTGTTGATCTGAAAGGTTGATTAACAAGTCTCCCCTTTATCAGTAATACAAGGATGGACATTGGACCTGTGTATGGTGGTACAGAGTTAGCCATTCCAAGAAAAAAAATTGTATATTGAGCGACTCTCTCATGAAATGTTATTCAAAGTCATTGTGCAACTTAAAAATTGTTGAACTGTTAGTAGGATATGGTCAATCAATTAACTGCAGTTCCCATTTATTCTAACAAAGGCTGGTTCGGTTGGAACACATTGAATTACCAGTTGCACTCAGCTTCTTGTTTTTCATCTATTTTTAGATTTTTTGGCAACAAAGATCAGATGAAAATGGACTGAAACATAAATTAGAGAGTTTGATCTTGAGAGATAGAAATGTTCTATAAGTACTGTTTTGTGATTTTGAAAACACTTTGAATATTTGCTAAAGTGTAGAAGTTACATACATGTATACGTCCGACCCGCAAATCATGAAGTTCCGTGTACTAGAAACCTTTTCACAGTTTGTTTCGCATGAAAAAAACATAATTATCTGAAGAAAAAAGTCTGAAAAGAATATCAGTGTTCAAAGCCTTCCCTCGTGTGTTTTTAGACTCGCAAATGACAAAAGCAACAGTCATCCAGAAAATGAAAACAAACCCCCACACTTACTTGTGTCATTCAAATGTTTCCTTCAAAGAAGTACAGTGTGAAAGTGCACAGAATTGGTCAGATTTGTTTAGCCTCAAGTATTAAGATCTTAAAAATTTTGTTAAAATTACATGTACATGGATCTCTTGGGGGACTAACGTGAACAGATTCAACATTTTTAGTATTTTGTGTACGATGTACATGTACGTACAAACTGTACGAATGAATGAATATTGAATGTAGGCTTAAGTGTGTGTGTGTGGACCATGTCACCAACGGCTTCTATTTTCTGGCTGGCAAGATTCTGTTGTTTACTATCCACACTGAGAACTTTCCATTGAGGCATCGCATGAATAACAGTCTCCATTCTGTTATCTCTGTTCCCCTGCAAATAACAAATTCTGTATTTCTACCAGTTTGGAGCCTATTCATTTACAAAATTCCATTTTTTAAAAAAGAAATGAGGAACCACATACGTGTACATGTAGTACAAATGTCAGTCAGTGATTCCCTTCAGTGTTGGTTGACATGGTCCACAAAGTGTGTGATCACAGTGGAAATGAGTTTTACAGTTACTGCAGTCTTTGCAGGCCTACATTGAAAATAATATGGTTAACATGTGAATGTTTTTAAGTGCATTCTGGCCTTCGTAGGCTTCGTTGTTTGCATAATATAAGTAGTGCAAGACATCTCAAATTTCAAGGGTTGCTGCAAAAAGTAGTGATATCAGCAGTAACATGCACAGTCATATCATACACTTAAAAGTTAATTGTGTGGTCTTATCCGTGGGACACAGTATTGCTTCACGTTCTGTTAACCGTAGGCACACATTTTGGCAAGCCACAACACCCTCTTGGTGAAGAAGGCATTTGAATACATGTACATGTACAGGGTCCACTTCAGTTTCCTTGTGAACTGACAAAGCACGTTACCTGCACTGCTTCTTCTTAGCAACCCTATCCCATTGCACATGACATGTACGTGTACGTTAGTGCTGTAGCTTTGACATGCAGCTTAAAGTTGACCAGGTGAGTTCTTCTTTCCAACACCTTGCAGACAGAGAAGATGTACCTGGGGAAGCTGAACATGATCCTGGTCCAGATACTGAAGCACGAGTGGCCAAGGAATTGGCCTACATTCATCAGTGACATAGTTGGAGCAAGTGAGACAAATGAATCTCTGTGTCAGAACAACTTGGCCATTCTAAAGCTGCTCAGGTAAAGGTTTTAACTCCCTGTTCCCCAGAGTTTGATGGTATGTGAAAAGTGAAATGTATAGTTGACTCTTGTTTTAACAAAGTTGCAGGGACCAGACAAATTACTTTGTTATGCATGTAACCGGGACTTTGTTATAAGAGGAGTGGAAAAACAAAGAAAAACTTAACAATACAAGAAAGTTGGATTCTCAAAACCATTCTGTGTAACACTTTTTTGTAGAGGCGACTGTACATGGTAAATATTAGGATTTGGGAGTGTTCGGTTAAATCTTGGGATTTGTGTTGTCATTGGCCAATGATACTGGTACATGGATTGCATTTTTTGAATTTGTTGGAAGTCATAACTGAACTAAAAGCCTGTCATTTTAAAATTTACATTTGGGGAAGAAATTTACTTCAATACAAGAGTCATCACTTTTTCCCTGGAAATTTGAGTTGCCTCGCTTTATATTTTGTGCACATGTCCCTTTCGTACATTTACACTTTTTTCGTCTTACAAAAGTGGTTGTGTCGACATGTCTTTTCAATGAATTCGGTACTTGGCCTAGAAATTAACATGCTTTTCTTTTGAAACTCATTGTTATTAATCTCTTTGTCAAAGCAAGTTTACCAATGCCAAAAGTATCTTTGTAAAGGATGACCATTACTAAAAAGTGCATTATGGTCCCTTAGCCTCCTGGTACCCCCATCACGATGGTAGAATGCCTCTTTAGTCACTCAAATTGTTTTTTTCCTTGTGCGAGGAAGTGATGGTGTCCATTCTGGAAGCTGGTGGTTGAAATTTAGGAAAAAACCAATCTAGTTTGAAGAGCCGACATGTGGATTCATGCTATTTTTGCTCGTGTTAAATTGTTTGACACTGGCAAGATGCCTCCTTTCATTGATGTGTTATTGATCTGAGGAGCTGTTCAAAACACTGAAGCTCACCCAGATGTGCATACTTGTACATGTAAACGTAAGAGCTTGCTCTCGGGCAGCACTTGAAACCCACATTCCCACAACTTCCTGTTTTCCACCAGAGTGAGACCATCAACCTTGCTTGGGTTGGTGGTTTGCAATTAGTAGCTAAAAAGTGGACTTTATTCGGGCTAGCAGAATTCAGTTCATTCCAATTGCCCGTTATGTTTTTAAAGGGGATGGGGCTAAGGAAGTATAATTGATTACATGTACATGTATAGTGTACGTTAAAAAAAAAGGAAAACTTTCTGTGCAAATCAGAACCTACATGTATCTCAGTGAAGGGCTTAAAAGTTGGCAGTGACACCATAATTCAAATTTTGGTGTCTGAGACAAATTAAGATGACCTTTTCTCTCACATTCCAGTGAACAAAACCCAATTTACCCAACGATAACCATGAATCCTTGAAGATATTGTTTCATGTAACCGAGCAAATTAGGGTTACTCTGTCTGCTTACCAGGAGCTTAGCCTGAATTAAAATGGTATGGTAACTACAGTTAGCAACAAAATCAAGATTTTCTTCCATTCTAGAATAAATTTGTAAACTTCTAGTAAACTCCAACATATTCCTTTGCAATTCTGTGAACACTGATACCTTGTGGAAGTTATAATCTAAATGGAAGCATGGTTTTCCTATCCCTGGCAGTGAGGAGGTGTTTGATTTCTCAAGTGGCCAAATGACGCAGGCAAAAGCCAAGCATCTTAAGGACAGTATGTGCAATGAGTTTTCAAAAGTCTTCACCCTGTGTCAGTTTGTCATGGTAAGTCCTAAAGTAATTGAAGTATATTAATACATGTACATTTCCTGAGAATTACGAGGCCTCTATCCCATTGTTCATTGAAATGAATTCATCTTTTTTTGTTTTGGTTTCACAGGACAATTCACAAAATATACATCTTGTAGATAGCTGTTTAGACACACTTCTGAGATTCCTGAACTGGATTCCCCTCGGTTACATCTTTGAAACTAAGCTAATCAGCACCCTCATTTACAAAGTAAGTTCTTTTATCGCAGCTTGCTATAAAGTATAAATCACTTCTCTGCTTGGCAAAACGTTCACTAGTTAGTTATGGAGAACGTACAACTTACCACCATATACAAGGCTGGGTATTGTTTTGGTTTAGTACTTAAACTGATTAGAAGAGTTTCATGTGTGCTAAGTTTGGAAAGGAGGTTAGTGAGAGTTTTGGGAAGCTAGATTTGTTGCTAGTATATAGCGTAGTTTCACCAGATCACAAAGCAATAGTGAGCTCAATGAGTGAACGAGTGAGTAAGGTAGCAAGCGTGGTTTGAGTATAAGGGGTCATTGCATATTTACTAAAAGCCAGGTCCATTCATTGCACTGAGCCATGAAGCCCATTCGCAAGGATGATTAGTTCCCTGAAAGTTTCTCTGGATTTTTTTGTGCAGTTCATGAATGTACCCATGTTCAGGAATGTCACCATGAAATGCCTGATGGAGATTGCTGGTGTTAACGTCAGCCAGTACGAGCAACAGTTTGTGGTGCTCTTCACTCTTGCCATTACTCAACTGAAACAGGTAGGCTGTGCTGTGGCATGCACGAACACCTTCTACACGTAGATGCAGTGTCCTCAGTGTTTGTTGCCTTTCGCGTTAAATTCATGGATGTCCTTTGCAAGGCTTTTTCTTTCATGTTTACTTCCCTGTCAAACACGCTTCAGTACCAGGAGTTAGTCAGAAAATAACTACAATTCAGCAAATGAAGATGGGGACTACATGCAGAGTGCGAAATTAGACCAAAAAAGTGCTCGGACAAAATGTCATTCATAATCAATTTTGTTCTGCCATTACCAGCTTTTTATCTGCCATATTATATAACAGGTAGAGTTGTAACATGCAGTGTCAGGGGTCGAAATTCACTTTTTCCCCGGTCCTACCAGAACTGCACACTCAGCTGCATTGTGCAATCCTTGTTAGGGCACAGGCTGTAGCAATTTTTTTTTGCCCTAGCGGGCAGGCCATGTGATAAGTTTGCTTGCTGGAATTGGATCAACACTTACCAAAGATTTCTCAGAATCCACGATTATTCTGCTTATTTAGCTAAGGCCTACTGCATACATGCAGTCTTTTAGTAGGCCCAAAAAATAGTTGTGCTGTGCATGCCTCTCAAAAATCGGGTCGGTAGGTTGGAACAATTTTTTTTAGGGCAATTTTGTGGTGATTGAATAGCATCAGTGGGGACGACATCCTCCAAAAGTATCTAAAAAGTGATGAACACCTGTCTTAATCTAATGTATAAATTTCTACATATGGCAATTCACAAGAAAATTATGAACAATTCACACAATCACAACGTCAATGTCCGTGTATCGTGTGATAAGCGTGCCTGATGCATCCAGACCAGCAGACGCTAAACTTTGTGCTACCAGCAGAACAACCTCAAATTACATTCATGAACAAGGAAAATACGTAAATAAGAAACCAAGTTCTGTGAATTAACTTGCAGAAAATCTCTTGCAACATAACATCGACATGATCGATGTCTTTCCGGCCTGCAGCCTTTTGCATTCGCAACGTGTACGGCTGATGAAGAGCGTTTATGTACAGTACATTCAGTACATGTACAGACTGGTACTGGTTGCTACATTTCCATCACGCATTCTTTTCATTGGGTGCAGCGCGGAGGGAACCAAAGCAGCTTCGTTTAATGCATAGAGCTTTGCGCACGTGTTTTTACCACTGTGATAGCGAAACAAGACTGTTGATGATCCGCCAAGAATTATGGGGTGATTTCACCATGCAGCTATTAAACACATGTACACAAGTAGCGCTGGGTGACAAGCGAGCAGCCCTGATGAAAGCCTTGGGCGTAATTAATGTAATTCTAACACAAAACTAAAAAGAGCCACCAGAGCCACCAGGCTGGATAGCTCAGTTGGTAGAGCACTGGTACGGTGGTCCAGAGGTTGCAAATTCAAATCTTGCCCCAGCCAATTTCTTTGTTCCTCTTTATAATCTTTATAAGCACCTAGTCAGTTTCCCTATATAGTTTCTTTCATAACATAAACTAATAATAAATCAGACACCATAATCCCATATATTTTATATATATTTTTGTATATTGATATGTTGGTTGGACGCTTTGTCTGAGCATCTTTCATTTTGTTCGGACAAACACTATAAGTGCTTGGAAAATGTCCGATGTCCGACCGTTATTTCACGCTCTGTACATGTATATGGAAATGGTGGGGCATGTATGAGGTTCTTATGTCAAACTGCTTTTTAGTATACTGATTTAGCTATGTGAAATTATTTAAGTGCTAACTCCCTGCGTGAAGTGAAGCTTGCTGGCATGGGCAGATCCTTGCTTGAACACAAGCCTCTGAAAATCTTGTTTTTTGCACACCGCCTGTAACATTAAAACAATGCATCAACGAAGCCGGTATGTCATAAACCTAGATGCACAATCAGTAAATGTTTTGAATGGTGTAATGAACACAAATGCTTGCACATTGTGTTGCAGATGAATTTTGCTGAGGCCTTTTAATGAGTAATACTACTGGTGGAAAGTGTGCTTACATGCCATTTAGATGTGCTGAACAGTGTACAGTATTTAGGCATTGCATTCAGAGTACATGAGGCATTAGTTCCATTGTATTCAGTATTTTCTGCAAATTCATGCATGAATGCAAAATACCTCTGCCCAGGAGGTTTCAAATTTTCCTGGCAGGAAATGATGAGTTAACGCTCTAGATATTTAATATAGCTCTGTAGATATACCATAGGGTTGCTGGTTATTAGTAGCTTGTACCAGTATACTGCTAAAATCATCTGGGCACCAGTCTTTCCCAGCATACATCCTGTAATGTTTGGGATTATTTCCACGGTAAATCACAGTCATTGCTAACTCCTCAATACTGTGTCTAAATTGAAAAATTTTTGCATTTTTGTTCCCCATTGATGTTTAGATATTGCCACTCACCACCAACATCAAGAGTGCATATGCCGACGGAAAGGATGAGGATCAAAAGTTCGTCCAGAACTTGAGCATGTTCTTGAGTACGTTCTTCAAGGAACATGTGACACTGATCGAGAAGAAGATGGAGTTGCATGAAATACTCTTGGAGGTGAGAAATATATTATTTGGCTTCATCAAAATTTCTTTTGCACATTTAGCAACAATTAACCACAACACTATTTCAGTAAGGAACCTCTTGAGCCCACCACTGTGCGGGAGCAGAGGGACACCCTTTTAGTGAACTCGGTGTAAAATCTCATGCAAAGTAATAGTGGCTAGCATGGGCATTGGCAGGATTTTCTTTTTTAGGGGGAAGAATTTTTCCGGGAAGGGTAAACTGGTGATTTTCACCCTTTTTTTCCATTTACTTTTCTGCTGCTCTTTCATTTGGGGGAGGGGTAGGCATCCCCCTTGCCCCCCTCCCCGCAATACCCTGGTGGTTAGGCTGTACCCTCTAATCCTCCCACATGTAAATGTTTCAAAACCTGTCAGTAATGTACAATCTACATTTACCCCCTTCTTTCTGCATTCACCCCCTTTTGTCAAGACATACAACATACCCAAAGCCTCTAACTCAACCACAGTCTGGCCAAAATTCATCACCGTTTGATCCATCAGTGAAGAGGGTCCCCTCCTGATCAACCTTTATACTCCATCTTTTCAACCAGGCCCATCATTACCTGCTACTGATTTCGGAAGTGGAGGACACTGAGATTTTCAAGATCTGCCTGGAGTACTGGAACACGCTTGCCTCGGATTTGTACCGTGAGAGTCCCTTCTCCTCTACCACACCATCCTCGCCACTGCTCATCGGCAGTGCTACACAGGAGATACCACCCAGGCGGCAGCTCTACCTGGATGTTCTGTCCAAAGTAAGCATGACTTCTTATTCAGGTGCAATGGTAATCAAGAACCTTTCTGATTTGACACATTATCACCGAGGAGAGATGAGATATAGTAAACTCCGACTAAGCTGGCATCCCGTAACCCATCATATCATCCAAGTCGGCCATTTGACAAAAGTCCCGATTGCCTGTAATGCATTTCCATTGAAAATTTCATTTCTAAGTCGGCATTTATGGGTCGTCATTTCGTATAAGTCATTAAGATTTTCTCAGTCCCTTTTCCACAAAACCACAAAAATTTCTTTGTGTAAGTTGGCATTAAAAAAATCGTGCTCCAGTATCAGTTTCCTTCGCTGCGGTTGCCAAGAAGTGACAAGTCCCGTGTCACACGGCCAGCATGAGTACATCAATACCAATAACCCCTCTAGTGCTACATGCATGCGCTCTGCCCATTTTGTGGGTCACCTTATTGAACGTAGTCTGGTTCCCTGCCCAAAGATTCCCTGACGACCCTTGATAATAATTTTTCGGGTAGTCAGAATCATCGGGTCTGGTATCCAGACTGTATTGAGTGAACTTAACCAATGCGGGTGTGTGGATGAGTGTATGTTTTTTTTTACCGTAACTGTATCACGTACATGTACTTACTGCACTGTCGAGTCGTGATGTGATATGCAAGTGGCTTGCCGTCCTTGCTTCGTCCTTTGGGGCACATGGTCAATTGTCGAATTTGCAGCCCGTGAGGATGATAATCGAGAACGAATTTGCTGGGATTGACCATGGAGGTAGAAAAAAACAGGGTTAATCAAAGCCATTGAATTAGTGCAAGGAATCATAATGTACATACATGTAGGCAATACATGTGTACGTGTAAGTCAGCAAAATGACGACTTATAACACAAGTCGGAATTGGTGTAAGTTGTCATAATTTCTTGAGTCCCGAGAGTGCCGACCTAGCCGGAGTTTACTGCATACTTTTTTCTATTCTGAAATCTGTTGAAACAGAGGACATATTTTCATTGTGAAAAATGCTCCACTGCGGCTGAGAATCCTGTGAATGAGGACAAGAAACAGAGTTAAGGGTGGGAGGGGAGCAAAGTTTTGAGAAATGCCTTAGTAGTTTGCATTTACTCAGTAGTTTGTCACGTAAGGCATGATTTCTTCACAAGCTAAGCATGCTCAGTCATGAATAATGTCTGCAACGGTTTCTTTGCAGTGCCAATTACAAATTCACATGGCACATACAGTATAACTAATACTCTGTTACCATCAGGTGCGACGTGTGATGATCTCCCGCATGGCCAAGCCAGAAGAGGTGCTTGTGGTGGAGAATGAGCAAGGAGAAGTGGTCCGGGAGTTCATGAAAGACACCGACTCCATCAACATGTACAAGAACATGAGGGAGACGCTCGGTGAGTTAACATTATTGAAGAGGTCTGCCAACCAGCCTCTCATTTAGTGTAGCCAGGGTGCATTTCACACACTTTCAATAACAACCAACGAGTTAGGTGATGTATCTCGCAATCCTACATTTGAGCTGGCCCAAGAAGATCGGTTGCAGAATCAAAATATGTGCGTTTTGGCAACTCTGGAGATCCCCTGGGTGCACATTATTACTGACAGGTTCATTAATTCTTTCAAATTCCTTTAAGGAGTCCAGTGTGCAGGTTGCTGTGGCCATTGTTGGAAAACAAGTTGTCATCATTTTCCATACACGCAGTGGACTGGAGCATCAACCACTCTTACCTCACTGCCAAGATGTACACAATAAACATACAAATTGTTGAGTAATTTATTGCTGTTGGAGGAATGTGTCTTTGTAATGGGAGACTGTTGGAGTGAAATTAAACTTGTGTTTTTTTGTTTGACAGTTTACTTGACACATTTGGACTATGCAGACACAGAGCAGATCATGACTGAAAAACTGACACTGCAAGTCAATGGGGTAGAGTGGTCATGGAAAAACCTGAACACAGTAAGGAGTTTGAATTAGGTTTAAATCTTTCAGAGAGCAGTCTTAACTTTTGCATTATGTTGTGTCTTTGTGTTAAATTAGTGAATACTGAGGTATTGAAATTTGGTTGTAATTTTTGTACAAAACAGACTCCAAAATTTAGGACAGATGACTCATTTGTCAGAGGTCTCATTGAGTTTGGTAACAAGAAGTAAAAGTAAATAACAGTTATAGCAAACCCTGACACATCAACTTATCAAATATTTTTACCAGCAAACAGGCCAAGGTGAGATCACCAACCGTGATATCTATCAACACTTTGAACATTGAAACATTAGTTCCAAATCCCAGTGCCACGTTGACTTTGGCCCTGGGTTATGAACAGGGTTTTTAGGTTTGTTTGGGTCCACACTGTCTCTCTAGTTGTGTTAAGCCCCTGACACTAAAGCGTAGCAGAACATACAAGTTACTGTAGGGTTGTTTAGTAACCAACTACCTGGTTTCTAACATCCCGTGAAAGTGACAAGATATCTGATGTCCCAGCTCCTCTGATCCCTCACTTCTGCAGCTGTGCTGGGCCATCGGTTCCATCAGCGGCGCCATGCATGAGGAAGATGAGAAACGATTCCTGGTGACTGTCATCAAGGACCTCCTGGGGCTGTGTGAACAGAAACGGGGCAAGGACAACAAGGCCATCATCGCCTCCAACATCATGTATGTGGTTGGGCAGTACCCCAGATTCCTCCGAGCCCACTGGAAGTTCCTCAAGACTGTTGTGAACAAGCTCTTTGAGTTCATGCATGGTACGTAAAATTTATTCAGTGCTCGTAAGACTGGGATGTAATTAATATGCTATGTACTGCTTATAATATACAGTATTCATTAGGACTACTGAAAGTACCCTTTTTAGGAATATTTACACTTGTGCACATTGTGGGATTGAGACATTTTGCTGGAGTAGCATAACATTAGACCAGTTTAGGATAGTAAAACAATATTTTGTGGGTGCCCAAGTAAACTTTGATATTTGGAACCTTTATTTTGAATGTAGATTGTGTAATGAAACAAAGAATCGTGTTTCCGCTCATCCAGAGTTATGTTTAGCACATTTTTTTGCTACTTTTCCAGTTCCTTGAACTTCCCCAAAAATCCTACCACAGAACTGGTCAGAAATTCTTTTTCAGCCTGTTTCTCGCTAAGTGATTGAGGTGGAAGTGATTGTCTTCTTGTAAATCGCGCATTCCTGTGATGAATGCCTCGAATCTGAATGTTTTTTCAGAAACACACGACGGCGTGCAGGACATGGCTTGCGACACGTTCATCAAGATTGCCCAGAAGTGTCGGCGGCATTTTGTGCAGGTCCAGGTCGGCGAGGTGATGCCGTTCATTGAGGAGATCCTGAACACCATCACAACCATCATATGTGATCTTCAGCCCCAGCAGGTGAGAAATGCACCCATGAGGAATCAGTGCTTGTTGGTAACGCACATTGTCATCACAGTATGTCCTAGTGGTAAATGCATAAATGTAGCCCCAATCCTTGGATTGGAAAGTTTTGAAGCTAGAGTGATCCACTACTAAACGTTACAGTTCCCAGTACTTAAGTTGGAGGATTGAGGACTGTTGGGTTAACTTGGCAGAGGCTGATGCTGTTTAAAAAGTTAAGTGCACGGAGAGGACCACAATCTAGTGTTCCTTTAAACATGTGTAACTTGGAGGCTTACTGATTAAAACTTGCTCATTCATAGGTACACACATTTTATGAGGCAGTGGGATACATGATTAGTGCCCAGACAGACAGTATGGTACAGGAGCACCTGATAGAGAAATACATGCTACTGCCCAACCAAGTATGGGATGGAATCATTCAACAGGCCACCAAGGTATGTTCATGGAAAACTTTCCCTTCAACTTGCACTTTGGTAGTGAGATTTAAATTAGATTTCAATTTTTTCTATTGAAGCTGATTTTGTGGTTTTTCCTTTTAATCATAACCCCCCCTAATATCTTCATTTTCCCCCTTTTTCTCAGGCTATCCAATTACTTGTCTGAAATAGAAATGGTTCAGAGGCTCAGAGTTTCTGCACTTGAATACGGGCATTTCACAACAGTGCGCCTCCAAGAGTTTGCAACGCATTGGCCAATTACAATGCACGAAAATTGTCAACCTAATGCACGTTTGGAAATGGTTGAAAAATTTCGCGCATTGTGATTGGCCAACGCGTCGCAAACTTTTGGAGGCGAACTGTTGTGAATCGCCCGTATTGTGCTGACAAAAATATTCATTTGGAAAGCACATTGTTGTGCATGGTGTGCAGGAAACAGTTTGTTGTTGGCAAACTAACGCAGGCCACTAGAAAAAAAAAACCACTGATAATGCCTGCCAAGTCATATGATCTATCTGCCCTGAGCTGAAGTGCACCCCCAATTGGCGAAAGAAAGACCGGCGGTTACAAGCAGGTTCTTGCACACATTCTACATGTACGCAAAGACCATACAAGCTGGGATAAATTACTGGCGTGTACTCAGCTTGCTCCACGTCAAACGCGCATATAGTTGCACTCCTCTTTGCGCGCCTATGCAGTGAGTACCATAAAAAACACACCCTCTTGTATTTCGCTCGGAGCGGATAGAGGGTATCAAACATCAGCAAGCATAGTGTCCTCCCTTAGCAAAGCGTGTTATATGTGTTGTTTACCAAAAAATAAAGGTGACCGTCAGCATAGCGCTGAGATTACCGACGTACAGAGTGCTGTACTGGCAATATGCTTTTGGTAAACAATACACATGCATGTCACACACGTTGCTATGGGAGAACACCACGTTTCTTGATGTTTGATACCCACTCTAGGTCATGTGACTAAGTAGACACAATGAGTCAGTTGCACTCAGTACTAACTGCAACAGAAGTGCATGTGAATTCTCCTAATGAAATTTATCCATTCCCATTTTTACTTCTCATCTTGTTCAGAATGTGGACATTCTTCGTTCCGAGGAAATTGTGAAACAGCTTGGCAGTATTTTGAAGACAGACGTCAGAGCATGCAAAGCAGTCGGTCATCCATTTGTTGTTCAGGTGAGTTTCACTGCTGGAACTTTGACGCTATTTATATACACTTAAGAAATTGGGTCCCACCTTGTGTTGAAGTGTGCACATATTCAAATATCCTTCAAAATACTTGCACACTGCTCTGTTTTCCAATTTTGACTTACATGTATGTGAGGTCGTGGATTCCTTATTCCATTAATTCGGGTGTGTGGAAGATCTTGAAATTCATTGTTGGTTTCTCACGTTTGTAGCCAGTGTGTCTTCCAGGTTTTGTGAAAGCATTTTATTATATTTGGCATGTTCTTCATAAAATGAACCAAAATTCAATCCGGATGTCATTTTTCAAAACTTCTAAAAGAGTGACTTTGATCATGTAAAATACAAATTACGGTAGCACCTTCAGATTAAAAAAATAATTATTTGGGGATAATTTGGCGTAATGTATACATTTTCTGGACATTTGGTAGGCTACCAGTGCAAATCAAACGGAGTTGAATTCATTTAAAGTTTTACGTCACAGTGCTTACACCAGAGGACTTGATTTCAAACTTTCCTCAACCAGAAGGAGAATTCAGTATATTTTTCGACTGAAGTATTTTGAAGCACCTAAGAAATAACTTCAGAAAAATATAAGTCATGAAAAAAAGAGCACAAAATTGACAGAAAATGATGAGAAAAATTTGTTTCTCTTCTTTCTTTTACTGTTTATAATCACTTTCACTATACCAGCATATCTGCCAGGTCTTATGCCTTTCAACCACCAAGAATTATCAAGTTTGGCTGCATCAAAAATTTATAATGAGTACAGTATGCTCATTGCAAACGTCATATTTGACAGAATTTTTATGACGTTCAAAAATTTTGACCAAAAGTGCATGACGTACAGGAATGCAGAAAACGCTATCACATGTAGTGATTGAACATACCATACGTGATGTTCATTTTGCCGCTTATTTTGGAGATTTCCCCGCTGAAAATTAAATTAAAATTAACAACTCTGAGCATTAAGTTTTCGTCATGAATCGTATTTTATGTCTTGGACATCATTTTTCTCCGAACCTCATTCAGAATGACCGATTTTCCTTCGAATGTCATTCAGAATGACCGAGTTTCTTTTGAAAAACCTTGGTCTGAAGAGAAAAATTGCAGAGCGTTACCATTCCGTTGAGGGGCTCATGAATATCGAATGAAAAAGAGGATGCACTATCTGGGTTGATGTCAAAGGTCAAACAGGACACGATGCTGCGAAACGTTTCTCTATCGGCGCCGCAAGACAATGACGGAAGCCGCAAATTTGCCACGATCGGCATTTTGGACTGGTTTTCGGAAATGTACGTAAAGAAATGTGATTGGTCCAGTTGTAAAAGGATGATGGTTTAGCGGTGCTTTTTTGCATTTTTTAAAACTTATGTTGTACATCGATTTGGATTTTACTTGCTGTTTTTGGTAGTCGATTTTTTTGACACTAATGACGGAATCAAATGACATTCGCGACTGCCGACTTCGGGACCCGATTAATTGTGAGAGGTGTTTTGTAATTTCGTGATTGTAGTTTTAATATGTGTAAATTTTATCACCTTTCACCACATATAAATCCGTGTAAAATAACCATGGAGATTGTCACTCCTCGGTAAATTTTATTGGCTAGGATTTCAACAGGTTCACGTCCATCAAAAATGCTGAAAGATTAAGTTGAAAGATGGACACGGTCATCATTGTTCCAGATATCAGCCATGACTTCCCTCATAATCAGACATTGGGAATTAATTCACTGCTGTTGACTTCAGGAAAAATTAACCCTCGAAGTTGAACATTATCTAATGGTCCATATTTTGAGGGACCTGCTATTTTTTAATTGTCTAGTCTTGTGAAGGAAATAAAATTTCTGTTTTTTACATAGTGCAAAACAAATCTATTTGTCAACAGTTGGGTAGAATCTATCTGGACATGCTGAATGTGTACAAATGCATGAGCGAGAATATCTCGGCAGCAATTACCAGCAATGGGGAGATAGTCACCAAGCAGCCACTAATTCGCAGCATGCGTACCGTCAAGAAGGAAACCCTCAAACTCATCTCAGGTTGGGTCAGCAGATCTACAGACCCAGTTATGGTAAGTCTCTCACCAAATTGTCTTGACAAGTTCATCAAGAATTTGTTTCCTTCTGCATTTGCAGTTGAGAGATGCTTTTTCTTTTGGGTGTTTCTAAATTTGAAGTTCCGTGCCGTTACCTGTAGAGTCACAGTTCCATGTTAAATCTTCAAGGTGTAATGAGGGACATTTATCTTCTGTAGGTTTTCTTTGGCTCGTTTGGGTAGTTCAGCTAGCTGTACTTAGAAGTTAGTTACGTTCATTCATTTATTTATTGGCAGGTTTGTGAGAATTTCATCCCACCTTTGCTGGAGACAGTACTGGCAGACTACAAGAAAAATGTCCCTGCTGCCAGGGAACCAGAAGTCCTGAGCACAATGGCAACAATCGTCAACAAGCTGGAGGTAAAAATGTTTGATTTTATAGACAGAACAAAGTCTTCAGAATTGTACGATATTGCTCTCCTGTAAATGGGAAAATGCCTTAGCTCTCTGTGCCAAGATATCTACCCCTGCTGCAAAAGAAGTGGTAAGAACTCTGGAACTCTCACTAAACTACAGAATCATATCACGGACGAGGTCCCCAAGATCTTTGATGCCGTGTTTGAGTGCACCCTGGAGATGATCAACAAGAACCTAGAGGAGTACCCGGAGCACCGTACCAACTTCTTCCTGCTGCTTCAGGCCGTCAACAATCATTGCTTCCCGGCACTGCTGAACATCCCAGCCCGCCAATTCAAGCTGGTGCTGAACTCCATTATCTGGGCGGTCAAGCACACCATGCGCAATGTCGCAGACACCGGTATGAATGAAGAATTTCTGATGTGATCAATAAGAAACATACTGGCCCTGGTTGTTTCTACCGCTAATAACAGTTTGCCTTCGTCCAGTATAATGACATTATTGGTGTACGCTTAGTGCTTTCCAAAAGCTTTTGACAAAAAGCTTCATTCTTCTCCTGATACATAACTCAAAGCCATAATCTCCTTGTGTAGATATATTGTCATCTCGGTCTTTGACTATGCACCAATGTACTAATGTACATCATCCTCTGTTCAAAGCCTCCTCAATCAGCTGCCATATGTACTCTGTGACAGTCTGTGAATATAACCGTTTGAAATTCATGGAAATAGCAGAAGCGCTTCACCATCATAAAATGTCATTGGTAGTAGCTATCAGTGTACATAGTTCATAATTATTTTTGATATAGTTGACAGAGGTGGGTTTTATTTATTCTTTTTTCTTGTGTCCAGGTCTGTCTATCTTGTATGGATTACTGCAGAATGTGTGGCAGGACAACTCAGCAGCACAAGGCTTTTACCAGACATACTACACCGACGTCTTACAGCACGTCTTGTCAGTTGTAACTGATACATCGCATACAGCTGGTAAGTTAAAAAGGGGCAGTCCTTCCACAAATGATGTGAAACTTTTGAGATGTACTTGGTGGCGGCAAACATTCTGGTCCTTTTCTATTTATTGCTTTTTTTTTTCATTTTTGAGTTAATGTGCGTATTCTCAAAATGACAGGAGCAATACCAGTCTGGTTACTTGGGACAGATGTATTTGTCCCTACAAAGGTTTAAAAGTTTTTCAGTGGATTAACCTGGTGAAATCAAATTATGAATAAATATATTTAAAAAAAGAGTTTTGATTGATACTGTCTGTGCGAACCAGTTCTGCACACCACGTCCATTGACAAGATAGTTCGAATTGTACTGTAACAATTTTGGATGGGAGTCTCTGTTTGTGCTTGCCATAGGGATTGAACAAATCCTGGCATTCAATCACCGTAGATCCGGAAAGCCTGCATTACTGGCAAGCATATTGTGCCAACCATTTTACAAAAATAACTGATAAGTGACATTTTCCTGGAGAGTAGCTGGCACAATGCTCATACCATTACCATTCCTGACGTCTACATTGATTGTATGTCTGGATTCTTCTACCAGCCAATAACAACGTTCAGGGGCTTGCTTTGATCGGAACTTAGTGCACCCAGTATGCTGGGCCCAGACCGACAGGAAAATACATGTAGTTTGTGCAGATAGGCGAGTATTACTATGCGAACTTTGACCTGCAGGTTTGACCATGCATGCCAGCATTTTGGCCTACATGTTCAGCATTGTGGAGACCAACAAGATCACAGTGCCACTGAGTGCAAGCCAGGGCAGCCAGTCTAATGAGTTATATATCAAGGAGTTTACAGCCAGTTTGCTGAAGTCGGCATTTCCCCATCTTCAAGAGTAAGTCAGAGAAGTATTGCTATCAACCTGCTAGACGTAGTTGATTTACCTTTACTGACTAAATCAGAATGTTGGGGAATTAAATTTTAATGATTTTCACTTAGAAAAACGAATGAACAAAACAGTTCCAAGTGGTTATATTTTTGGTTCCTGGTTTGAAGTTGATGCACTCATGTCAGCGGACCATTTAGGTTTTTGTGCAAGAATAACATCACACTTGCAGTGGGACCAGTTGGTGTACATTTGCAGTGGTACCAGTTGGTGTTGAGACAGTGCTCAACTTGCATGCATATTCAACCAATGCCATCATTGGTATTGTCTTGGATATGATCCATTATCAATCATCACACAACGTCTTGGATTACCTTTTCAGTGTCCAAATCCAGATATTCGTGAAGGGCCTGTTCAACCTCAATCAGGACGTCCATCCGGCCTTCAAGGAGCATCTGCGAGACTTCCTGGTGCAGATCAAGGTATGACATGCTCAAATACATGAGGCCGAAAGCAGATGGTTGGCTGTCACAGACCAAGCTCTGTTGGCTCCCTAGAATTGTGGCAGACCCTTCGATTTGGCAGACGTCTTCATTTCTGTTGATTGTCCATTTTGAATGGCACAACAAAATCAAAAGGGGATATGCAAACAACAGTACATGTACATGTCACAAAAAACTGAAACTTCAAAAATATGTAACACCTAAGTGGCCTATGAAGACCTATTTATTTTACCTTTATGCCCACTACTGTACATACCCCTAAACTATTCACTGGCACCCCCACAAACACGAAATGAAAACATCTGTTGGCTAATTGTTGGTCATCTTTTTCTGCCAGTAGTTAACATTGCCATTATTCCTATTGCTTTAATATTGCTTTGTCATTGCTTTGTCATTGCGCTTACATTTTGTTAATATCAGTGTGAAATTTTCACTTCTTTTAAAACACACTGTGAATGTGCTTTAATGATTTTATATGAAGGATTATTAAAGCTTTCTTTTAAGTTTGATAAACCTGTAGCAGTTCTCAGGTTTTTTTGTGGGGGGGATGGGGGATCAGGTGACTAATCATGTGGCCCGGTTTCTGTTTTTTTAGGAAATTGCAGGTGACGATACATCCGACCTGTTCCTGGAAGAGAGAGAGGCTCAGTTGAGGCAAGCTGCCGAAGAGAAACGCAAGATCCAGATGTCGGTGCCGGGCATCATCAACCCCCACGACATGCCGGAGGAGATGCAGGACTAGGGGAACCATTGCACCTCTCGAACGTGCAAAGTCTGATCTGCCCTTGTGATGAAGAAAGAACTCGTTGCTGCATTCGCAAATGCGTGACCCTAGTCTTGAAGACAGCTTCCAGAGACAGCCATCCTTGAAGCATTTGAAGAATATAGTGCAATCGTTGCCATTAATGCCACATTGTCATTTGCCTAATAAGATTGAGCTATGAGGGTTAAGATGAGCAGGATCTCTCAGAGATCATGTTGCAGAAAGACTCCCTCCTCTCCTTTTTTAAAGGAGGAGGTATTATCAGCCAATGTTTTGTAATTTGGCTTGATTTAGATCATGGTTGCATGCTAGTAAAGATTATGTCACCGTACATCTGAAGACCAGTGGACAACGCATAACATAGTCAATTTTTTTTATATCTGTGCTGACCAAACTCAAGTGGTTCACATTATCTGTGCAGATTTCTGACTTCAAAATGTTTGCATTAACCATAGGAAAGAAAAACACAAATTACCCTTGTAATTCCCACTTTTGTGAACTACTATCTTGGCTGGTTTTCACTCATATCCTGTCTCAGTTTGCTCTGCCAAAAGGGAACAATCATGGTTCGGTGGCAAGAGAAGAAACCTGATTTTGGAAATGGAGGTTGAATCCTGAATCATTTTTCATTTTTTGTACGGGAGAATTATTATTCAGTTTGTACATATCTGTATAAAAGGTAATAGTTATTGGGTCATGTACATGATTTTTGATGCCAAAATTAAGACATGAAGTACATACAATGCTTGCATGCCAATGGAGAATTAGAGCCAACATTAGATTGAGATGGAACACACAGTACAGTGGAACAAATATCAAGGTATACATGTGAGTCTAATTATTGGAAGATGGGTTGTAAAACACTGGTTAATCAAAGCTTTGAACGAGTGTAGGTTTCTGTTTTAAACAAAATTGTCTAGTGCTTAAAAGAAGTGATGTTGATAGTGGCACTAGAGAGGAGACCGGAATTGAAGTTAATAATAGCCTTCCCTACTGACGGCATTCGCTGTTGATGCTTTGTGGGATTTCCAGTCATATTGACTGTTTTCCTAAATTTGATACATAAAATGTACATAGTATAAATACGTTTTCAAAAAGAAATTGTTGTTGTTTCTTATGTTGGATGGAAGTTGAGCGGAAAACATGCTATGAAGGTTCCTAAAAATCATCATAGTGAAGAGTGTGGATGTGAAATTGTTGAAAATCCTTTGTAGAATTTTGCATTGAGTGGAAGGTTGTGTACAGATTTTGTTTCCACTAGGTTTTTGTTGAGTAGCTTGTGCCTTAGATTGCTGGTGACTATTAACAAGATTTCTCTCTGAATGTCTTTCCCCCTCTTTCCCCGAACACCTTGACTCTGTCCATTTCATTTATATTTGAGTAGAAGTGGTAATTTTTTTTTCACATTTTTTTTACCAAAGATGTAAAAAAGGAAAAAGTATCTGATTGTTGGTCACATAGTACTTATTACAGAACTGTTATTATGCAGAGACAAATGGATGACACCCAAGCTACTTTTTTGACTTTCTAGCGACTTGACAGCAGGTTAACTCTTCAAATTTAAAGACACACCTTGCTGCATTGTATTAGTAAAGATGACTCTTCCACTTCAGACATCATAAAACTTTTCAAGAGTATAATCCTTACGGAAGATGTGGAGAGATTCTGTGTTGCTTGCATCATAAATACTTTCTTGTATTAAAGGATATCTATGGAAAGAAAATGGGGCTTACAAGTTTGTTTAGGGCTGTATGTAACACGGGTCAACTTTTTTCAGTGCCTATTCTGAATATTTGTAGCAATACCCCTTCCTTATAACAGTGACCATACCTGTTTCTTTCTGTTTGGGTACGTTTTGTGGCACTGGTGGATGTAGTGAGGGGAACATGATTACTTGGATTATTTCTTAACCTTGCCCATGTAAGATTGAATAGTCTGCAGCAGTTTAGCAGGTGTTTGCTCTTAGGCACTTACAGCTTGGTCAATACACCTGTAAGATAATGCCATGCTTTGTCTACATGTGCACTTTACTATGACAGTCAGAGGGGCCATGATCCGTCAAGCCCCCATAGAGAAGTGCACGTGTAATCAGGATCTGATTTCTATTGCACTACAGTGGAGTATACACAGACTTAAAATTTGGACTGTACGCACGCCCAGTGGAGTGAGGTTTTTGGAGATGGAGATAATGAACATTGTTACAAAGAATGATTGTATTGAACATCTTACCTAGATGTGTAGGCATACGTATGTGTGAATGTTAGTGTTAATGCCAGCACTGATCCTGTGCATGATGCGTACACTTGGATTTTCTGAGGCATATGGCCATTCAGTGGAACAACCTGACCAAAGTGTTTATCAAGTCCAAATGAAAGTGAGTACCAAGTACCAAAAGAAGACTGAATTATATAGACTACAGAAATTCCAACAGGTACTGTTAATTTATTTTGTAGTGTTGTGGCTTAGACAATTTCCAACAGAAAAATTTTGGGCCCTTTTCTTTGGCCGTTGTCAAATGTAATATGAAGGAATGGTTTGTGACTTGTGTATTCGGGCACGGTGTATTGTGCATGTAAAATAAAGCAACTGATACTTGTATAACAGGAACTAGTTAGACTTGCCAGTTTGTTTCTCTTTATTTAGAATTAGTAGAATGCAGCAGTTCAGTTTTCTGGGATTTAATATATGAGGGACATTTTAAGAAGATCAGTGTCTCAGAAAAACTTATTAGGAATCTAAGGCTGCATCCGAATCTCTTGTCTAGAGCTAGGTCTAGATCTTCACTCCATTGGAAATGCGTGGAGACGCGTAGACAATAGACCCAGCCATAGCTCTGGAAGCCTGTTTTGGACACGGCCTAACATGAATAAGACCCACTGTAATATTAGCTGCTTATTTCTGGACAAAATGAGAGAGGAAAGATATCAGAACCGTGCATTTGAGCAAATGTTTAATTCACAGAGTTGTCTCTTGTCTTCTTTGTTGAATATTTTTATATATATGTATATTTGTGTTAGTATTTTGACACGTTAATGTCCCAGGCATGTGCACCGTCCATTCTGATGCTTGCAACTCCATCGTTAAAGCGTAAGAGTGAGACATTTTTGTTATGGTTGCTAAAACTCAAGAGTCCTAATAAAATTATTCTTTTACTGGAAAATTTATGTTGACTTTGTGCTTGGTATTGTCAACATCCAAGGTGCTTTTCACAAGATATATTTACTTATAGTATTCAGGGGCCTATTTTTAGGCTGGTTTCCAGTCTGCAAGATTGCCATAGCCCAATAGACCGATTGCACCTGCTATTAAAGTCACGTGACCTACAGTGGGTATTAAGTATCAACAAACACGGCATCCACCTAAAGCAAAGTGTTTTATATGTATCGTACCAAAAATAAAGCCGATGGTAGGTACCTACTCGGAATACTGATGGGCAGAGTACTATACTGTAAATCGGCTTATGTAATTGCACTCAAAACACAGGTTGCTGTGGGGTTGGTACCAGAGTTGTAATGACTGGAGTCAATGACTTGATTCAAGTCCAACTGGTCACAATTTTTGGCGACTCGACTCAAGTCCCAACGGGGAAATGACTCAAGTCTGCGACCAAATGACTCATCTTGACTCAAATCTCTGATGGAGACTTGACACAAAAAAAGCAAAAATTTTTTGTGAAAAAAAAATTTGAAATTGTACCCACTGTGCTACTCTCATATCGATCATATTGTATTTTGTTCAAAAATTTGTGACTCAGATTGACTCAAATGTACTTGACTGCACAAAGAGACTCGACTTCTTGACCTAATGACACCACTGGACTCAGTCTCTGAAGTTCTTGCCTCAGGAGGTAAAAAACAGATGGGCAGTGATTGGACGTTAATTAGCTTATCTGATGAGTTGATTAGGAAACAGGTTCTACTAGGTGTCCTTCTGAGGCCAACACTACTGACTACTGATTAAAAATCATTTGCCATTCACTGTAGTCCAACTACCCTTTCTCTGACACATCTCAAGGGTCTCAAGAATTGATAGGAATGCTTCATTTGCAGGTCAAGAGAGGGGAACAGGGGCTATGCCCCCAACCCAAATTCTTTGTAGATAATGAAAGGTGATTTGGGGAGGACTCATTCATTTCTCTTTATTCCAAGTGTGGAGACTCAAACTGTAGCATCAGCCCTAATAAAAGTCATAAAAGGCCACATATAACGGTGCATAAAAAAATCCAAATTTTATGGGACCCCTCTCAAGAAATGTGGCTCTGGATCCACTGTTGAAGATGATGTATTTTTGTTAGCTGTCCCCAAAATTATATTGCCCAATTATAGGAACAGAATTCTTTTGGCCAGTCATCAGCAAGTGTAAACATTGCAAGTAGTTTGCCGACATTTTCTTTGTGCTTCACCAAAATTATTAATTAAAAAATTAAAATTAACAGTTGCTTGGGTTCTAAAAACCTGAAATTAGTGGATGACCACAAGGTCATTGGGGTTAAAGCACAGGAAATAAAATTACATGTAATAACCAGAAGAAAACACAAATGAACAAAAGACGAAATGATGATGCATTAAAAGACAAGTATCTACTAAGGCGAATTGTTTATTTTTTCATGAAGCAAACAGCACAAACAATTCAATTTGAACTACAGGAATAGACGAAGCATAAACTCCTGCGAGGATACATGTAAGTACATACACCGAACAAGTGCTGACTGGAGTACACATATCAGACAGATACACTCCATCTGAGGTGAAATCTTGGCTTCCAGATGTTGTTGAAGCTTTATAAGTGATAACATACTACTGTGAGAGGGTATTAACCAGGGCTGAGATCTGAATATCCAGAAACTAATGACAACAAGTCTGAGTGCCCCACAGAAGTGTAGTGTCTAATGGTATACAGTGTACATTTATGTTTGCTTAAAGGCATCCCTTAAAATACCAATTTCGAGTGTTCTATATCAACTTTTGATAAAAACAACTTTTAACTCCAGAATTTTCCAGATTGTTAAAGGAGATTGTTGAAAAATCCTGAAATCAGGAAAATCCAGATGATAAAGTCCTTGAATTAGGAAAAGGTGTGACAAATCTCACCCCTGGCTACAACTATGGACCACCAAAAACGTGTTGTTATTGTTGCTGGAGGTTTGTGGGTGATAGCGGTTCACTGTGACAAGGCCCTCCTGCAGCAACTGAGTATCACCGTAAACCGATGACGTATCAACTTTTTGAAATCAAGACCACCTGAAGTGAAGCCAAGGATGCCTTGCAATCCTTGACCGAGTATTAAGTGAACATCTTTTCTGTTCATTCCCACCACCGGTATATTGTGCCAGTAATAAACACAAAGCTTTCCTGTCAAATGTGACGTGGGGGGGTTACACAGCTCTGTGTGCAAGGCAGGGTGCAAGAGGTAATTTATGTCATGTGGCATGCACGAGGTATTAAATTTTTACTTTGTATGCTTTATACTTTGTATGCATACATCTGCATACAAATCCTACCATCTGTTTGAAAGTCCAGAATCATAACCATTCTGGCCCAGTACACCCACATTCATTGCTTCAGTATCCGTAATTGGAGATGTACACGTAAGCTGAAAACTAAACACCAAATTTTTTACAAATCACTACTTTGCAAGTACATGTATATAGATCTGAAAAAATTCTGTTACAAGTATACAATTATACATAACTTTCAATATTGAATTTTCATGAAGTATTTACAACTTACTTTCTCGTATACAATTACAAAATTTGTTGCATTTGTAATTCCTGAATTGAAACACTACTGTGTGCAATCACAGAAAATAAACATATCTGCATATCACTTTTCTATGGATTTGGATGGGAATGCATGCCTTGGCAAACTAGAAGACTTTTCTCTTTTTAAGGCTTACATGTACATACAACAAGTAAACATTTAGGCACTTTCGAATGAATAACACACAATTTGATACCAGAATGTGTACAAAACATGCATAATGTGCACCTGAATACAATTTATGTTCCCACTAGTAAAAACGCAGAAACTATCCAAAAATGATTTTTGATTTGCAGGTGCAGTAGTTTGTCACCTGACACAGCATACATGTACATTTAGCTGCTTGCAAAACTTCTTGCATAACTTGTATACATGTATGCTTTAGGAATCATAGAAACCTTAATTTACATCTTTTCATTAAACCTACAGGTACTTACATTATGTGTCGTACTCTAACACTTTTCTTCTGAAGGTGACTTTCTACAATTTCAGTAAACATATACATGTATCTATTCCATCTTTTTCAAACCATTTCAAATAACCTTTGAACCCTGGCATGTACTAAAAATATGGAAATGTTAAAAAAAGCCAGACCTTGTGGGATTGTTCTACGATTGAAGGAAAAACCCATTACATGTATTTGAAGGCTAGCAGTGAAAAAAAACAATCAGTGAGTTTACAAGCAATGACGAGTTGGAGATGAAACAAAGAACCAAAGGAAGAGGGCCACATACCATGAACACAATTGCTTTGCTAAAATGACATGCTAAAACAGAAAGTAGCTGTTTGCCAATCACAAGCAATGCATATCAAATGACATATTGGCTGCTAAACCTGTCTTTACCAGAAAAATATTTGTTTAAGCTTAGCAACTTGTCCCTGCTAAGCAGCTCAGTACAACAGACCTCTGTACTGATGACACCCATACTTTGTGTGTACTTTTCCTATGCTGCCCAGTGGACCTTGGGCCTGATTGGTTATGTAGGAAAGTGTACATGTAGAGTATGGCATCATCAATGCAAGGCCCTATTGACCAAATGGCTATCAGCATATCAGCCCTCAAACACTGAATGTGTAAAGTTTAAAGGCAAAAATAGGTCATTCTGGCACTGTAAGATTTCATTATTGTGCTGAGGCTGTAATCAATCATTTGGGTACACGGAGGACTGTGGCTGCTATGTGCAAGGTGTGACATTTGATGCCAACTAACAGTGGTGTGTCATCTTCTGTGACTTCATTTTTCTCATACACATACCAAAGACCACAATCATCAGCTCTTGCCAGAAGCCCCCAAAATCCTACATTTCAGCTTCCTCGCTATGAATTGAGCTGATGGATCTATTTTCATCATCGTCCTCCTCGTCATCAAAGTCGTTGTCGTAGCTATGGCTCCCTCCCTCCTGGTGTGACCCCATTCCTCCCTTGGCACTGCCTAAAGACACATCCACATCATCTTGTCGGCCAAAGGTCAGATCTTCGTCGCTGTCGTCAGGATAGTCGTACGACCGCATGGATGCCTGGGTGATACTACCACGCCCTTTGCGAACCAGGAATTCCTCATCCAAGCCTGCATCTTGCAAAGCCTGTTGGTACTTCTTCTCAGCCGCTTTCTTGGCGTTGACCTTAAGTTAGGAAAAGTGATTGTATATGAGAATTAGTTTGTTAACCAGTTTTCACTATCAACCCATTAGATCTTAGACAGCTCTGATGTGCTCAATCGTTAACTCCTTATATAGCTAGAACACTTTCCTGGATTTTTGTCTTTGCTTTTTAACAGCACTACATTAAACTGCTGCTTGATGCAAAGAATTGCTTCAAAAACAAACACAGAAAGACAAACTGTACTGCAAGGCCAAACATAAAATAGTTGTGTTTCTGTGTACCCAACTTAACATAGAAAATCATGCATCTCTTTATTCAAAAGAATCCCCCCTCAGAAAAAGCATTCAGTCTCCCCTGAAAAAAATATTGGTTCTGGATCAATATTTTTAGAAATGACAAGATTTAATAACTGAATGTCTGTGACAAGTTCTCACCTGGGATTGTCGTTCAAAGAGCAGCGGTCGAGATTCCACCCTTGACATCATTTCCTTCAGCTGCTGCTCGTATTCAGCTTGTCTGGACTTCCCCGCTTGGCTACAGATAGAATTGAAGCAATATACCAGACAACTGATTGGCCAATACTGTAAAAATGAAGCACAATGGTCCAATGGGCCCCCAATTTCTTTTTTTATCTTTCTGAAGAGATTAGATGCAAACATGACATACATGTATGTCTAGTACTGCTTGTTTAACAGTGGAAATGGTAATATGTGCATACATTGTACATGCAGCCCCCCAAAAAGTACGACACAATGGAGTCTATTGATCATGTACATGTATGTATGCAGCCTATTCTTCTTTTGACAGAAACTGGAAACTATGAACAAATTTGTCCCCTTGTTTTCAGTTGAAAAAAATCTTTTCACAAACAAAAGTTAGCTTCGATAAAAACTACATATTTTAGTGTAAATCCTACGGGAAAATCAATGTCAGCAACATTTGCACAAAGGGAAGGGAAGGGATACCGGTAGGTGCATGCCTTCATTACAGACCTTCTGGATATCAACCCAAAACAAGTAATGCCCAAATTAAATGTCTTACATGTAATTCTGCAGCTTGGTTTTACTGCTGACAGAAAGACTCTCCGAATTGTCGTTAGCTAAGGCCTTCCTGGTGATGAACTGCTTTAGTTTCCTGTCTTTGATCCTTTTCTGTCTCTCCCTTTCTGCCTCTTCTCTCTCCTTCTCTGCTTTCTCCCTGAGGGCCCTCTCTGTGACGCTCTTCCTCATTTTGGATGCTGCTGTAGTCTTAGCTGGGATCACATCTTCCGAGATGTTAAGAGAGCTGCGAAGACTCAGTGACTTGGAGCTGGATCCCCTCAGCTTCTCCTTCCGCTTTTCTTCCTCCTGCTTCATTTCATCCAGGATTTTATTCATCTTGGACGGGATGCGGGCTGTGCGTAAGTTGAAAGGCTGCACAACTGTGGGTTCCTTTTCTCGCTTCTTGCGTTGCACTTCCTGTTGAAACTGCCGGTACAGTTCGTCATAGTCGGGCACTTCACCATTGACCTGTGGACGGAACTTGTGTTCCGTGGTGAGAAAGGCCATCTTCTCTCGACTCTTAAACAGCTTCTGCCGCATTTTTCCATCAGTGTACTCCTTACCACGGTGCTGCATGTTTGGAGGCAGTGATGACTGGCGCAGCATCTCTTCTGATCGCATTTTGATCCGAATTTTTCTGTATTCTTCCTCCTCAAGGATCCGGTCGGATACCGTGGGGTCAAACACAGACTTGGGGATCTCTTTGGCTTTAAACTGTTTGGGCTTCTTTCCTTTGGCCTCTGTTAGTGGCAGTGACTGAGATCTGCGGTGTTTCTTCTTCTCTTCTTCTCGTTTCACAAAGCTAAATGGCCTCTGCTGTGACAACAGGCGGGTTTTGCTATTCTCCCGATTATTTCTGCTTCGTTCGATGTCTCTTTCTTGGATTTCATCATACAGCGGCATAAATGTGTGCACTGGCGCCGGTGTGGCCTTAAACTTTCTCTGACACTCTGCCTCCTCCGCTTTTTCCTTCTCAGCCAGCTCTTGCTCCAACTCCAAACAGGCTCTGGATTTGGTTTTCTCCTTCGTCGCTTCTCGCTGTGTCATCTGGAAAGGTTTTGGAATGGTGATTTTGGGGGACCACTCCTTGGACTTGACACTCCCTGTGCTCCTCACTGATGATGCTCTTGAGCTGCTCCTTACTCGAGGAGCATACTCTTCCACAGAAAAGTCATCCCACATCCTATCTACCATGTCTTGGCTGGTTGAGTAAGGCTTTGACAAATTTTGGGTCCTTCGACTTTGAGTGCTCATGTTGCTGACATCCAACTCTGATCCACTTGTGTCTTGACCACTGTCACTGTTCCAGGTGATATCACTCCAGTTTTCTGTTGGCATGCTGCGGCGTAAACTTCGTCTTGACTTGCCTGCCCATGCCGTTTTAGGGCGGCCAATGGGAGGCTTTGCAGACATGTCCTTCACATGATCCTTCTTTGCTGACCAATCATGGCTTTTTGTGAACTGTTCAATTTCATCATCAATGTGACAAAGTTTGTGGTCTCCAATGTAGACAGGCCCAGACTTTGTAAAGGGTGGTTCCTCAACTTCAATATTACTTCCTGGGACATCGTGTCCATTCAATGTCAACTTTTGATCATACAACACTTCCAATCTATGCAATGTTTTCCTGTGTTCATCCTTCATTTCTGTCAGCTTCCTGTAAAATTCTTCATCAGTGTAGGAGTCGATGTTGTCTTTGAGGCTTTCGAAAAGCTGATCAGGTTGTAGTCTCGAGTGTTCGTCTTGATTGACAGGCTCACGTTGACCGCCGTCATGGCCGTCTGAATAATCGTGGCCATTGTCAAGATTGCGAACATCGCCGTAGCCATAACGGATGCCGTTTGGGGCAGTATCGTTCACCAATTCTCTTTCTTCATCTTCAGTCCGTTTTTCACTGTATGGCTTGAATGAGCCTCCTCTCTCAGTGAAGGTGGCCGCAAGCCTACTTCGAGGATTGATCGGCAGTTTGACACAAGAATTTGTTAAAGCAGATAAGCTGTGGCCGCCCAATGCAGTTGCCATGTTGGTTTCCACCAAAGCTATTCGAATTTAGGAATTTTATTAATAGTGTTATTGCAGGACAAATATCATTTCAGTAGGTAAATATTTTTTTTTAGATAGTAAATTAAAAATCTTTTGCTAACTTTATAAAGCTGTCAATATTTTTTTGGTTGATATGAAACACAAAAGGGACTTTTGTTTCGATATAAATTTAATTTGTGTGACAAAGACTGCTTGTTTTCGAGAACTATCGATGACCTTTGACTTCAACCTGGGTACTGGGATCGTGTGCATTTGTCGGCATGATCACATCGTGCTTACTCGAACAGAACGCCATTAAAATCTAAAATTATCTCACGGTTAAAACTTCATCAACGGTTGTTCTTCACCTATTTTGAAAGAGGAGAACTTGGACGATCGCCATGCCTGAAGTTAAGTTGAGAAATGCAGCAGGACCTGGTAAAAGTCCGGGTTCATACAAAGATAAAGAGAAGCCTGGGCAGATACGCGAGTCGAACATATCCGCTGCTAAAGGTGAGCAACCCCTACATTAAATTACAAATAGTCATACATGTAAGACTAACTAAACTTACTTTTATTTCTGAAGGGAAGAAGGCATCCCTGACTTTCTTAGTTTGTATGTTTCTGCTCATGCTTTACAACTTTATGGTACCCCCAGAACTGTGGGGTCCGACGTCCGGTCGCTCTCCTCTCCCACAACCCCCCCCCCAGAAAAAAAAGGCCTTTTCGCAATGGCATAGCCGTAGGCTAGAGTAGATGCATGGCATTTAACAGGGCATTAACAGCGATTCCAATCGAGTTGTGTACCCATTGAAATGTTTCATTTTCCCCAAGAGTTTTCTGTAAGATAGTTTACAAACATGACTAACATATCTTTGTTTTGAGTATCAAGAAAGAAAAGGCCAAAACCATGCTGTTTCCAAAAAAAGGTGGTTCCTGATCAGTCTCTGAGAGTCACGCGGTTCACACGTGTAATTGCGAAGACGAGCCGCGACCAAATCGTTGACTACGGCTGTAGATGGATACGCAAGACAGGGAAATTGGCTACAGCCACTTTCCGTACATCATGTGTGCAATTCTTAGCTGCGCTGGTTGAAATGGCAGTTGGCTGCGGCGCGCTGGGGGTCACTCTGACCAATCATAGGGCTCGTCATTATTTATGCCAAAATTGAAGGAAGACAAGCAGCAGCCGTTGGATGCACAAAGCCGCTCAACAGGAACCGTCCACTGTGCAACAGCAAACAGCACGCTCACATGCACTGGTATCAACAGTTGTTACTTGTTAGATGGTTTATGCCAAGAATCTGGGATAACAATTGTACTACTGCAGTATTAGTGCCGTTTACAAGTTTAAGCTTTAAGTTTAAGGCTAGGCTAGCCCAGGTTGGACGTCATGAACGAACGTAGATTGTTCACAAATCGTGACGGAATGTGTGGAGTTTTGCAACATTTCCTGCAAAATGCGTTGTCTTCGGCCGCATTGAGTAATTTCAACACAGCACTTGTGGAATTCGGGAGAGGCCTATAAGGTACATGTACTTGCAAACGATCATTTGAACTGTCTTCGTCAGGTAAAAATGTGAGGAAAATCCGTTGACCAAAATTTCGCACATTAGGAGAACATTATACCCTGAATGTTAGTCGCAATGCAATGTAGATGACATCCAATCTGGGCTGGCTTAGGCCTACCACCATGTTTACCAACTGAACTTGGCCATGTCAACCTGTCGACTCGGTCTCGGGGGCCATGCTATTTAGCATCAACAAAGCGCTGGCAAGTTATTAAAGCATATATGCTTTTGTGAAGAACCGGGTACCCACCATCGGTGGTTCCACATTCAAAGAGCTGACTCCAAACATCAAATCCGAGTCCCAGTCACCGCTCAGCACCCATGAGTGACAACTCCAAACATTGAATCCGAGTCACCGCCGCTCCCGCTTGCTGTACATGTACATGTAGCAGGGCACCTTTCCACACAAGGGAAAAAGTGTACACAAATGAACTGTAAAATACCCTTGTGTCTAGGTACCAAATCACATTGGTTATTGCACGTGCACCAAAAGGTTTTTTTTTTTTCCAGACCAGTCGCATAGGGTTTGTGCTCGGGGTGTCAAATGGCATCCGTATGTGGAACTCAATCCTCCAAAATCCTCAAGCTTTTAAATCAGCATTCATCGTCAATCCCCTTATATCCTCCAGTTTTTCAATCCGTATTCATCCTCAACCCTTTCAAATCCTCCAGCTTTTAAATCAGCATTCATCCTCAATCCTCCAAAATCCTCCAGCCTTTAAATCAGCATTCATCCTCAATCCTCCAAAATCCTCCAGCTTTTAAATCAGCATTCATCCTCAATCCTCCAAAATCCTCCAGCTTTTAAATCAGCATTCATTCTCAATCCTCCCAAATCCTCCAGCTTTTAAATCAACATTCATTCTCAATCCTCCAAAATCCTCCAGCTTTTAAATCAGCATTCATCGTCAATCCCCTTATATCCTCCAGTTTTTCAATCAGTATTCATCCTCAACCCTTTCAAATCCTCCAGCCTTTAAATCAGCATTCATCCTCAATCCTCCAAAATCCTCCAGCTTTTAAATCAGCATTCATCCTCAATCCTCCAAAATTCTCCAATGTTCAAATCATCATTCATCCTCAATCCTCCGAAATCCTCCAAAACCATCCAGAGGATGAGCTTGTAAGAGGACATGACCTTATTGTGAGAAAATTGGCACCTGTTAAAGAATGTGACGTGCGAAGAGAAATGAACTCTTCTACATGTACGATGGTTGGCCGACCATCGTGAAAAAGGAAAACAAGATTTCTCTTTTCTCAAAAACTACAGCATTCAGGGCAGAAATATTTGACAGACTGAGGCTGTTATGTACTTTCAAGTAGGATGTGTCTGGATTATATGGTAGTCCAATTTGGGGGATTTTTACATGTACATGTACCAATGGTGTACACTACCTTTAGTTTTACAGCACAAATGTGTTGTGTTGTGCAGTGCACAACACAACTGTGCTTCTTTGAGGTGTTAACCAAGTGACCCAAAGAGTGACTTCAGCATAGGAGGCTTAAGGTAATGTTTAACTCTGTTATTTGAAAACTAACATTATTGTTTTTTCCTTTGTTGCCTATAGCTGTTGCAGATGCGGTCAGAACCAGCCTTGGGCCCCGGGGTATGGACAAAATGGTAATTAAATTGCTGTCACATTTTTGTTGGAAAATTGAGTAACACTGGAAACTAGCGAATGCGTTCTCATGTTGATTTCAGTTGGCCTGTACAGAAAAGCCGGACAGGTTCACTTTTTTAATCAGCAGAATTGCTTGAATGTCGGCAGAGTTTGATCCCCTTTGGACAGTATTTGTATAATGCTGCCAACAGAATCGTGTAAAACAAGGAAACAAGATTTTTGGCAGGTAAGTTTTGAAGTACAGTGAGACACTACAGATACTGACTCATGAGAGTTATTTGAGCAATAGAAGCTTTGCGTGGCAGCCATCTTGCGGGGTAGTCCTTTTGTTCCACTGCAAATACCTCCTTTGTGCATACCCAGTGGAACAAAAGCACTGGCCTGCAAGATGGCAACTATGTAAACCCCTTATATTTGTACAGTGTTTCTTAACTACAGCCAGTCAACATCGTATTTTATAACACACTGTCGTACCCCCACAGAAAGTGTTCTAGCTAGGACCATTTTAGTGCCAGGTAAATTTTTGGATTACAAAGCATAGTGAGCGCAGTTCTTAACTACTACCAGCCGGGGACTCCGAAATCGGAGCCGTATGGTTTATATGCGTGGCCGGGGTCTCCTAACTCGGA